TTATCATATATATTGATACATTTTACGCTTTATATATAAAGTTTCGTTTTGCCAGTTGTTTTCAAGTTATGTTTTAAAAGGTATAATTTTGACAAAGGATTTTATTTTTTAAGTATTTATATCTGCTTCCTGTGTGCTTTCAGGTAACTTGACGCAGCTTCCTCTCGCAGCAGCAGCAGCAGAGATGAAACAGAAGCGCATTGGTCTGTCTGCGGAAAACAGCTGAGCGCAACAAACATCCACTCACTGTTTGAACATCCAACTTCCAGAAAACTGTCTGATCCCCAACACATCAACACTCCTCCCCGCTGCACGCCCTCCCATCTCATCTCTAAATACTTCTTTTTCTCCTTCTTCTTTTTTTTTTTTCTAAAGAAAATTGTTCTCATTTACTCGCGCTGCTTCAGATTACCGGCAGGAAAAGGACCCGGACAGATAAACAGAAACATCCCCCAAACCAGACGGAGTGAAATGCAAGGCTGTCTGTTTCCTAGGCGGAGGGTGTCTAACGCAGAGCTGTAGTTTCTCTCCAAGAGGCGAGGAATGCAATTTGAGCATCAATGTTTCACTGGGGCAAGTGGAAGAAGAGGATGGGAGCCAACAGTTCTTCAAAGAGACCAGTGTTCGACGAGAAGGAAGATGGTAAGCGCTGGGAAAAGTCAAACCTTTCACTAAGCTGAAGCAGTTATTAAGCTTATCTGAGCCTGCAATGAACAACAATTACATTTTGAACTGAAACTAAGCTGCAGTTAAGTGTTAGAAATTTTGGAGTTAAGCTGTTGGACTTTTTTGGTGTCTTTATTCTGCTGAGTCCAGGTTTCCTTTCTGCTCTGCTTTCCTCCATTTCTATAACCCAGACTAGATCACTTTAACATGACTTTTTATCCTGTGATTGAATGACTTTTGGAAAACATGAAGTTTGAATGGATCCAAAATTTCCAACTAGAAAAGACACAAAGCAAAATGATATCTCAATGATCCCCCTTTTTAGAAATATTATTAGACATCTGAGATTCTCCATGTTTGACAGTTTTGAGTTTAAATAAAATGCATCTTACTCAGGAAAGTAACAATTATTTATGATGCAAAGATTCCTATGTTTTTAAGTTAGTGGCATCAGAGTCTATTACCAAATTTAACTCTTTATTCTAACAGAGGCCATGTCCTGAAAGTTCTTTGATGGGCGTTTGCAACATAATCTAACAGAAAATGATAGAATAACCTCTTTTATGCACCAAAGCGCATGTCCCAAACCTTTATTTGTTTCCTTTCCAACTTCTGAAAATGTATCAAAGCGTCTAAGACAAAATCGGAGGCATTTCTTGGTTCACATGCTGGCACTGATTTCTAGTTCTAGATTGAAGCACTTTCAGTGTATCGGTTAACAATGGCCAGATATAGTTTCATTACTTTTTTTTATGTTATTTTGTTTCATATCTCCTTTTCAAATCTTGTTCCATAATTAAATATTAAATAATAATAGCAACCAAAATCAGGAGACAAGCATCTTAACAGGCTATGAATGTTTAAGTGTGTGTTATTTGTTAATATTCAACACTTGTTTGTAGGCAAATAAATAAATAGATAAATAGGATATAATAGTTTTAAAAACAACAGTTGACCATCGGAACCAATCTGAGTAAAATTGTACAGCTCCCATCTATATTTCCTACTGAACCATGCCATCACGTTTTGCATAGCCATTGTTTTTTAATCATAAAAAAGTATCTATATCTACCAGAGTTACAGCAGTTCCTTAAAAAGTCTTTAAAGGCATTTAATTCTCCAATGTAAACTAAGGCCTCAATTGGTATTAAATGTCTTAAAACATTCTTTCATACATCTTAAAATTGTTACCACATCTTAAATAAGATTTTATTTTTGTTATCCATATCAAATATTAAAATAATTGACAATATTTTTTTGACATTTACCAAACGGCTCGCTGTAATCATTATTGGTTTTGACCCAACAGCAGAACCAATAAAAACAATGTTGCGGCATTACTTTGGGATGATGCGTCACTAACTTTTTATCTTGACAATGTGCGGAAGAATAAAGATGATGAAAATTGGCTATTCAGCCAAGAGTTTTCTGCTTGGCTAAAACCAGTACTAGGGAATGTACGTGAGGCATGGTGGATTTTGTGCAAGAAGTCATTCAAGCTTGGCATGATGGGAATCAAGGCAGTGGAGTCACATATGTGAAGCGTAAAACTCAAAGCATCAAAATCAAGTTACCGAGATGCAGCAGGTATTTCTCAGTTCTTTTCCACCCTTGTCTCTGCAATGCCTCCACAGCAATCTCTGACATCAACAACAGCGCCATTGCTGGCGCTTCACTAGACATGGATATACTTTAGTATATTCTGCTGTAAAACGAATCTTATAGGGCTACCTTGAGCTTCAAAGCCCCCCTGCTCACCCACGCTCTCTCCATTCATCTCCTGGTCACAATCTTCAATCACTGTAGCAGCAACGTCCACCTTTCCCTCTTTGGTTCTTTGAAAGATCGTGTTTATTTGGGGAAGTTTTTTCCGTTCTTCCAGCAGCTGTTCTTTGCTTTTTCTTTTCTGGAATCTGCTTAAGTTCATTATTTTGGTATACATCGTCGCTAACACATTGTACCTAATGGTTATGGTTTTAATCTACGTTCTGGATTACCCATAATTCCAAGTCGTAGTGTAAAACATGTTTGAAACATACATGAGTGTATTTTTTACCAACCGTCTAATGAACTATACACAGTTATTAACATAGTAATTAAAAGTACCACTGTCTGCTTTGCTATTGGTGTTATGTTTAAAAGGCTTACAATCATGTTAAAATCTGGCATGTGTTGGGGTATAAATAAGGTCCGGTCAGTCAATCTAGTATCAGGAATTTTTTGCATCATTACATCTGCAAAGAGACGTCCTAGTGTCCACAATTGCGTAAGGAGCCAACCAGGTACCAGTGACGGGGCCCCTAGGCAACTACAGTTTCTGCTTACCGATAATTACGCCATTCAGTTCTAGTAGCACCAAATCTCTGGGTATTGTATGGCGGTACTCCTACAATTAAAGCAGAGTTTCGTTTGTGTTGTAGTTTTTGAACAAAACTAAAACAAGACATTCTTTTACTTAGATTTAAAATAAACATTTCGGTAAATTTGAGACAACCAGATTTTTCTTGTGTTTATTGTGAAGTTTTTCTTAACTTTGTATTTGAAATGGCATTAAAAAGTCGTAAAAGGTCTCAAATTTAACTTGCCTTATGCTGTAGGAACCCTGTCTGCTAAATCTGCTGATTACGGTTGTTATCAAGACTCTATTTTCCTTATAAATCTTACACATTATGCAGTAATATTTGTGATTTATCTTGAAAGATAAACCATCCATGTAAAAGAAAGACTGTATTGGTCGCTGCAGCTCCCAGTATTTAATTGAAAAGTCATGGGCTGTAGTACGCAGATTTAATCAGATTTAGAAAAGCTTAGCACATTTGATTGATTAACTTGTATGTTTTCCATCAGATTAAAAAGATGAAACATTTTTTTGCACTGATCATGAAGAAAATTGAAGATCAGTCCTCAGAGGAGATTCTTAATTGTTATAGGTCATGAAAAGGCTAATCTGTACCTTTTAACCTAAAGTGTTGCCAGCGTATGTGAGGTAACCTTTGGCACGAGCACCCATAAAACTCCACATTACAGTATTTTCCAGATTAACTCCTAAAGCTGTGGCTGCGGAGCCTGTCATCACAGAGGCAAAAACCCCCCAGATAAATGAGGTCGTGTCGCAGCAGGGATCCGGTCATATATTTGTGTCTCTGCACCCTCATGCAAGGATAACCCAATTAGGTCTACAGCATTTCTGCCAGCGGTCTTGAAGGGAAATTGTCCAGCTCTATGGGTCAGGGTGCTGTCAAAGCGAGTAGATGTAGAGAGCAGAGAGGGAAGGAGTGGCCCTCCAGCATTAAGTGCTCTCCGCTGTGCAGCAGCTGATCAAAGCTAAAACCCCCATCTAGGATCTTATGGAAGGGATCTTTATGATGGATCTCCTTCTGGAAGATGAAATAAGACAAGCCTGAGGAAACCAGGGGTCAGGTTTATTTTCAAACTACTCAGCCCTCTATGTCTCCCATCAGGCTGGTGCCACTCATGTGTGCTGCTCTGCATTTGAACATGGGCTCCATTATTATCTTAATCACTGCTGTTGTTATAATCACTATCATTATGTATATAGATTAAGCTTGGATCTAATCCATGGTGCTAAAGTGCGTTTTGATGTAATAATGTGACGGAATGTGATCTACGGTGTGTTCAACAATGAAAACAGCCCTGCACTCAGCACATTGAGAGCAGCAGGTAGAATTTAATGTTTGTTGGAGTGTTAGAACCCTGCTTTCACCCTGCTCGCTGCTAAAAGAGCTGCGTAGAGCTGATAAGAGCTCAAGCGAACCATGCTGCATCACGCCACCGATGCCGACTCACCGACTCTAGATGTCATGTCTCTTAGAAACAGCATCCATCCCCGGCTTCTTGGAAAATAGTGTATGGCCTAGATTAGGCAGCAGCGTTATAGAGGAGGCGACCGGCTCAGGGAGCTCCAAATGTAATCGAGCGGTCAGGTTGATGTCTGGGCGCAGCTGCCTTACTGTAGGACTGCCTCTCTTTGGCTGATAAGTCTGATTAGCAGAGGAAAGGAAAGGCTGTGGCACTGAGGATCTTCGTGTTTCTTCGCTGCTGTCTGTCTCAGGCTTACTCAGACACATAGCACTGGGTGGCAAATAGATCCAGGGGTTAGATTAAACAGAGGTTAGACTCTAGATAATGGGTTACATCTAATTGGAGAGATCTTTAGATTGGATCTGAAACCATGGAACTCCAAGTTAATTCTTTTTAGAAAATTTGCTCTCAGAAAACCATCCATCCATCTATCCATCCATCCATCCATGCATGAATGGATTCCTAACATGAAAAGAACATGCAAATATGTTGAAATCCTACTTTAAAGTTGAACAGAAGCGGAGGATGTAACTGATAAATCAAAATTTTGCCAATTGAACAGAAGGAACGAGGAAACATCTTTTCCATCCACTAAGACACAAATTTTGAGCATTTGCTCGTTTTGCAAAAAAATTCTATTGGGTATTCCGGCTAAAACAGACTGAAAAGCGCCATCTACAGGTACGTCCAGCGGTGCAGCCATGTCGGTTTTGCTTCAGCTTGCCGCTTCTTGTTGACGTCATAATTGTCACTGCATTTCTTTGGTCGAGAACATATCATTTTTGAGGCTTCTGGTATGACGTATGTTTTGGGTAGTTTGTGAATTCAAAGATGTTGCGACAATTCATCTTGCCTGCAAGGTAAAAGAAACATTTCCTTTAAGGAATTCACTGGATTGCTGATAGACCTGCTGCCATCTTGGTACTCCCCGCTTTCAGGGAGTTGCAGCATAAAAATGCATGTAATGTAATGTAATCACCATAACAATGTAATAAATACATGTATATCACATCTACAAAATTAATTTAGCACTTTTTGCCCATCATCAGATAGGGTATGTGTGTGTAATATTCTTAATATCTGAATAAAGTGTTAATATGTTCAATTAACACCCTAATTTGTTGTGATGGATTGAATTAATATTTTATATTGCA